TCGCTGCCAACGGGAGCCATCTCGGTAATGGCTCTGGAGACCCAGCCAGGAGCAGGGCCGGACGGCACGCAGGAGCCCACGGCATCTGTGCCCGGCACAGGTGGGACCCTGGTGCCACACCACAGGAATGGCCGTGGTGCCAGAACCCAGAAGACTGGCAGCACCGGGCACCTGATGCCCGCAGGGCCCTCAGACCCAGCGCCTGGGAGTGGGAACAGCCACGAACGGGAGCAGCCGCCAGGGCCAGCGCACCGGGAGGAGCTGCCAGGGCCCCCCCGGTTCCCCAGGGCCCCCCATCCACCCCAGGGCAGCAGCACATACCTGCTGGATCTTGGACCAGTTATCCTGCACTGACAGCCCGTTCATGGCCCCCGTGATGGCCAGGAAGCAGCCAAGGAAACACGGGGCGAAGCCTCCCTGTGAGAGAGGAGCCAGGGCCAATGCCGAGGGGCTTGTGGTGCCTGGAGCTGGGCTGGCCACGGGCAGCCCCTGCGACCCTGCCCACCCCAACCCTCCACCACGGTGGGGCTTGGCTCAGCTCAGGCACAGGGGTTCATGGAATGGGATGGAAATTTGCCACAGGAATATGGCTGCACCCATCACCCCATCCTGCCGCTCCAGCCCGATGGGACACCCTCGCTCACGTCACACCAACCTGGTCCAGAACCATCTTCTTGACAGCCACGACTTTTGTGTTCCCCGGGATGAGCCGATCCAGGATCCTGTACCAGCTGCCCACAACGGGGCCCTGCAGGAGCCAGGAGGTGAGGAGCAGCACCCACCCTCACTAGCCAAGGGGGCTCCGGAGCTGGTTATATGGGCCCAAGACTACCAGGATGGGCTTGTCCTGCCTCTGACTGGGCTGTGCTGCCATGCTCCAGGGAACCAGCCCTGCCCACGGCTGCCAGAGGTGCCATCAGGATGTCCCAGCTCACACTGGGGGGGCAACATGACCCCACCCTGATGAAAGAGCCCCGGATCCCATCCCACGCTGCCGTGCTGGCACTCACCACGAAGCAGAAGCCAATGGCCATCATTTTCAGGGTGCGGGGGCCGTGGTGCCCACGCAGCCCCCGCCGCTCCACCAGCTGCTGTGCGATCACATCCCCAGCTCCCATGAGGGCCCCTGCGACCAGCACAGCCCATTCAGGTGGGCAAGACCCCCGCATGCCCTGCCCATGGCTGGGCCCCCTGCCCAGTGCTGCTGCTGCTCCCCTGCCCCGGGATGCCTGAGCCTGCTGTGGCCCCATCAGCTCCATCCCAGCTGCAGCTCCTCACTGCCTGCAGTGAGCCCTGCTCAGCACCTCGGGCCTCTCAGGATGCTGCAGCATCTCTGGCCAAAAGAGTGCCTGATTGCATCTCCTCCTGGTGCCCTGGGCACGGGGCTGACCTGTTGTGAAAGACTGATTAACACCCGTCACCCAGGGCCTGTGGTGCCTGGGGCTCTCAGGACAGTCCACATGGCTGCTGCCTGTGCTCCCCACCATGGCCTCTCCTGAGCCTCTCCCAAATCTCTCCCTGTGCACTGGGCAGGCTCTGCTGACTGCGATTCCTCTCTGGAGAGCCATTCTCTGGCTCTGCCAGCAGCCAGGACACGCAGGATGTGCTCTCCACTGCCCGGGCTGCCCCAGCCCCTCGCTGTGGCCGGCTGCTGGCACGGCTTCCTGGCCCTGTTTCCAGATCAGTGTCCCCGGTGGGATGCTGCCTGGCTGGGCCTCTGGCAGCTCCTGCTCCATTCTACACCCCTGACCCCTTCGACGCAACTTGGCTGGCCCGGTGCTGCCCCCCAGCCCCAGCGCTGCTCCCCCTGGCCCTGGCAGCTCCTGCTCACTCCCCCCGCTCCTCCTGGGACAGTTCCCAGGTAGGTCTTCAGCCCCACTGCTGCTCTGCTCTGAACTTGTAAGCCCTGAGCCCAGCAAGCCCTTGGCCTGGGGAGCACCAGTCTCAGCACTCCCCATCCCAGCAGCCCCTGTCACGGCCAGCTCAGGGCCAGCCCTATCCCAGGGGCTCCACGAGCGGCTCATGGGGGAACAGGGCCCAGCTCCCTCTCCCAACACCATGCCATGTGGCCCCCAGACAGGGCAAGCCCGGGCTCTACAGCCCCATGGAGGCCCCAAGTACCTCCTGCTGCCGCCTCACAGGCTCCATCTCCCACCCTGGACCAGCCCCAGGGTTTGGGGCTCTGTCCCCCAGCCCAGAGCCCTCTGCTCCCACCCATGATGGCAGGGTAGCCCTGCCAGCCCGCGGGCTGCAGCAGTGCAGGGGAGGGGGTGGCAGCAGGAGTAGGATTCCAGTACAGCACACCAGAGTGCTGGCTGCCCCCAGAGGTAGCGTTCCCAGGAGCTGGGTGCAGGGGCACGATGCTCATTGAGAACACGCAGCCGTGGCACTGCCGTTACTCATCCAGTGCCGAACGGTCCGGGCACGGTGCCCGGCGGTGACAAAGCTGTGCCGGGGGAACAGACCTGTCTCTGCCCGGGCCTGGGGTGCAGCTGGATCCAGTCCCTCACGATAACTTTGGCACCAGTGCTTGCCCAGGGGGAGATGGCTGCGTGGGGCTGGAGCCTGCAGCCAGGCCAAGCCCAGAGCCAGGGTGCCCAGCTGACCCCCAGGGCGTTGCTCCCACGACCAGAGGATTCTGAATTGGGCCTGAACCTAAGTAGGGCACCGTCTGTATCCCCACAGCATCACCACGGTGGGAGGGCGGGGCTGCTCTCCACAGGCAGGGAGGGACAGCAAGGTCACGGCTGTGGGCACGTGCTGCTGCCTGCTGTGCCCGGGCCCTGCCGGCAGCCTGGCCTGGGGCCCGGGATGCAGGAGGCAAAGCCCTGCCCGACCCCGTGGTCCTCAGACAGCAGCTCGGGCGGTGAGCACGGCTGGACGCAGCAACACAGCCAACTGCCAGCAGCTCCCTGGCCCAGCCCCAGCTGGCAGCACCAGGGGCTCCGGGAGCAGCAAGGGAAAGCAGGGTTGGAGGCCGGAATGTATCTGGCCCAGGGCAAGGGAGCTGCATGGACCATGGCACAGCCAGAAGAGAGGGGCCAAGCCCAGCTGTGAATGGGGGTCTGAGAGCAGGAACACTCGGCCCCAGCAGTGCTGCCCCAGCCTGGAGGGAATGGCCGTGCCCCCTCAGCTGGGCCTGGGAACCTGCCACAGGCAGGGAGAGAGAGCCCAGCCTGAGGGCAGAGCCTCTTCTGGGCCAGGGGAACCACATCCAGCATCAGCCCAGCACCCACAGAGCAGCCGTGCCCCCCACAGCACAGCCCCTGGGGGCTGGTGGGGCCCGGAGGGACTGGGGGGCTGTGCTATGGCAGTGCCAGCTCTGATACAAAACAGCAACAGGCAGAACAGGGCTGGAGCCAGCCCAGGGCCACACTGAGCCTGCACAGCAGCAGGCAGGGGCCAGGGGGGAATGGGCAGGGCTGGCCCTGGGCAGCCCTCCCAGCTCCACCCTGGCCTCTCGCCAGGCACCAGGGGATGTGCGGCCAGCAGTGCCCAGCAATAGACTCCATCACATCCCATAAAAATAACAGCGGGAGCAGCGAGGCGGCCTGGCAGGGCCCCAGCAGCTGGGCAGGGGGGCACCCGGGGGCAGCAGGGCCAAGGGCCAGTGGCTGCACTGCGAGGGGAGGCCCCGGCTCAGCAGGGCACCCCCTGAGGTTATGCTTTCCCAGCCTCCTGGGCTGGTGGCTTGGGAGCAGCAGGACGAGGGGAAGGCTGCGAGCAGGGGGTGCAGCAGGGAGCACACAGGGACACCCTGCTTCCAGCCAGCAGTGCCACACAGCCCCTGTATGGCCCTGAGCACACCCAGCACAGGCAGGATGGGCTCTCCCACCACCCAGCCACAGTCCCAGCCCCGGGTGGATTGGGGGGGACAAGAAGGGCAGTAGGCAGTGAGGGGCAGAGGTGTCTGGTGTTCAGGGCTATGAGTCCCTGGGGCAGCAGAGCTGCTGGCCAGTGTCAGGGCAGGCTTATGGCACTTCCCAGCCCTGCAAGCAGCAGCATCGTTAGGGAAATTCAGGGCAGG